CATGAAAGTATCATCGCCAAGCTGCTTAGTGGATTCTGATTACACTTTCTTGATTAACTTTTTGTTTTCACTGGTGTTAATAACTGCCTTGTGGCCTTTGTGGATTTAGTTTCACAATGCTATTTCTAATTCACTTCCCAGCCTCTCCCACAGTATTCTGACTCTCCTCTGAACAGTTAAATACATGAGGTTTTTTACCAGCTTAATTCTTCTCTTAACTATCTCTTTAAAATACTCTTCTGGATTGTTTCCCTTCTCTAGGCTAACCACACTGCTAACCACACTATTATCCTGGGTAATCCTGTTTTCCGGAAACTTTATCTTCTTACTATTTTTTTATTCTCTCATTTTAGAAGAGTATATGAGAGTACATCCTCAACAGTTTCCTATGAAATTAAAATATATGAAGTAAAAGACTATAGACCTTGAATATCTTATATCACTATTTGATCTGGATTCCCATTTGATTAGATCTAGTCTTAAATTTCGGGCTTCCCAGGTAGCACTAGTGGTAAAGACCGCCTGCCAATGCAGGAGATATAAGAGACACTGGTTAAATTCCTAGGTCGGGAAGATCCCTGGAAGGAGGGCATGGCAATCCATTCTAGTATTCTTGCCTGGAGAATCCCAAGGACAGAGGAGTCTGGTGGGCTATGGTCCATAGGGTCTCAAAGAGTCAGACACAACTGAAGCAACTTGGCACATTCTTAACTTTCCGCTTTCTTTGATCTGGTAAGTCAGTTATCACTCATCCATCTGTGTTCTACTTTCAAAATGTTGCTGTTGTTTCTTGTTTGCTTTCACTTTTTTTCCCTTTTTTTTTCCCCGTGGGTTTATACCTCTGATACCGTTACAGTAATTTTAGGGGTGCATACATGCTAAGTCACTTTATCCATGTCCGACTATTTCCAAGTCCATGGACTGTAGCCTGTCAGGTTCTTCTGTCCATGGAATTTTCCAGGCAAGAATACTGAACTGGGTTGCCATTTCCTACTCCAGGGGATCTTCCCAACTCTGGAATTGAACCTAGGTCTCCTGCATTGGGAAGAAGGTTCTTTACCAAGAGTGCCACCTGGGAAACCCAATTTTAGGGGAAGAAGAGTTAAATACATCTGCATAATCTTTCATGTATAATCAGAAGTCTGGGTTACTTTAGTAATTTTTTAAAAGACAGATAAAGCTACTTCCATAGATAAGCAAGGTTTGGTTCTTTGTTAATCATTTGCACCCCCCCCAAATAATTATATTTGAAAATGTCATGTATGATTTTAGTCATTCTATTGTGAACTTCCCATATGATCAACTTAAAAGGATTAGTCTATACACATGGACTCTGAAATGCACTATAATACCAAATAGGAACAATAAGAAGTCCATGACATTTTTTTTTTTTTAATAGCAAGGCACAGATGATGTGATTAGCTGATGCTGCAACTCCTTTTTCAGTAACCATGGCCCTTGGGGAACCTAAGAAAAACTAAAGACCAATCAGCTCAGCATTGCTAGGGAAATTTATTATCCTGGAACAGCCAAAATTGTAAAAGCACCTCAAATCTGTCTCAAGGGTTTGCATCATTTTTATTATATAAAACTCCTCCTTTGTTGTTACATAATTTTCCTCAACTTTGCCTTGCTCCAAAACTTTACCTTGGACCTTGTATTAGTTTTCTATTTCTGCATAGCAAATTACCACAAACTAAAGCAGCTAAAAATATTTCTTTATTACTCTCAGTTACATAGATCAGAAGTACAGCATAGTTCAGCTAGGTTCTTTGCTTAGGGTTTCTTGAGGTCAAAAATTAGGTGCTGCCTGGGCTAGGCTTTTATCTGGAAGCACATGGAAAGAATCTGCATACTACAGGGTGGTGGCTGAATTCAGTTCCTTGTTGTTTCAAGATTAAGGTCTTTGTTTCCTTGCTGGCTGGAAATGGGATTCCTCTCAACTCCTAAAGGCTGCCAGTGTTGCTTGGCATATGTCTCTCCATCTTCTAAACCAGGAACAAACTGAATTCCCCTCATGTTTTGAACCTCTGACTTCTGATACCAGCCAGAGAAAACTCTGCTTGTAAAGGGATCATGTGATTCAATAATACTTAACAACATAATCAGGGGAGTGATATGATATTTAGAGATTTCATCCATACTCAAAGGGCAAATGACTACACAAGGATGAGGTGCACTAAGGGTTATTCTTAAAATTCTGTCTACCATATAAGTTGAGGGAAAATATGACATTTTTGAGTGAAGCATGTCAGACAACCTTAAAACTCACTCTGTCCAGGGAGATCCTCTCCCATTTTCTCCGGCGAGTTCTTAATATTTTGAAATGTTTTATCTGTAAGTAATACTAGACTACTAAGTGTTCAGATCACTCTTTTACATCTAGCATAAATAGGACAAGAGAAATATCCAGAATTACATAGAGAAAAACATAAAAAGCATGCTAAGACCCAAGGAGTACCCCCATTTGGCGTAGTTTAATCTCTAGGTCTCTTTAGGATCAATGCTCAATCTTTAACTTCCCTTCCTTGTCCCTCAGCTCTTTCCAAAATTGTCTCTGGGCTTATGCAGAAATAGAACTTATATGACCTTATGGTGAAGCAAAGCCAAAGTTTCCCAAATTCAAACACAGTCTTGGGCCTGTCCTCTGAATCCCCTGGTCTCCTGATGTTCCTATTATAGATGAGTATCCTTAGCCTATCCTTCAGGAATCTTGAACCACAGGCCAGCTGATGAACCTGGAACTGTCCTCCCTTAGCTGTCAGGGGCTGGTAAACCTCCTAGCTGAACAGATTCCACTTGCCAGGTGCAGTTTGCTCATTGAATCCCTGACCCAAATGGTCCATTCTTCAGCTCTACTAAAATGCCACTTAGCTGCTCCCAACCCTTGACAACTCTCTGGCAAACTAGCTACTAAGAGTCTCAGATGACTTCTGCATCCCCTTTGGGAACAAGAGGGAACTCTTATGTTTTATTCAAACTGAATGAGTTCAAGAGAGCTAAACTAAGGTCTGAGCTCTTCTTAATCATGTTACCTCTTCCTAATCACTGCTACTTGACTCTTCAGTGTCAACCCTCCCCAACCCAGGTTGTTTTGGGGAGCCTTTGAAGTGATATCTTACCAGAATTTCAAATGTGAAAACAAATTCCTTCTGCCTTTGGTGTTTTGCTCAATCTTTCTAACACATCAGTTTGGTCGCTCAGTTGTGTCCGACTCTTTGTGACCCCATGGACTGCAGCATGCCAGGGTTCCCTGTCCATCACCAACTCCCGGAGCTTGCTCAAACTCATGTTTATTGAGTCAGTGATGCCATCCAACCACCTCATACTCTGTCGTCCCCTTCTCCTCCTGCCTTCAATCTTTCCCAGCATCACGGTCTTTTCCAATGAGTCAGTTCTTCATATCAGGTGGCCAAAGTATGGGAGCTTCAGCTTCAGCATCAGTCCTTCCAATGAATATTCCTTTGGGAATGATTTCCTTTGGGATTAACTGCTTTCATCTCCTTGCAGTCCAAGGAACTCTCAACAGTCTTCTCCAACAACACAGTTCAAAAGCATCAGTTCTTTGATGCTCAGCTTTCTTTATGGTCCAACTCTCACATCCATACATGATTACTGGAAAAACCATAGCATAGATGGACCTATGTTTATTTCAGAATTTCATCCCAAAGAATAATGCTTAGGATTTAAGTAATCTCCTTTTCTGCCTCTATTCCCCTTTCTCCTTACCTAATTCCTTTAAATCAATGTTTTTCATTCTGGAGATTATAACCCATTTGTGTTCAATGATATAAATTAATGAATTAATCTGCATATTTAAATGGAATGGATAGACAAGAACTATAATCCCACAGCCTCCAGAACGAAAACCACAATCACAGAAAGCTAACAAAAATGAAAAGAAACAGTATTATGTCCCAGATGAAGGAAGAAGATAAATCTCCAGAAAAACAACTAAACGAAGTGGAGGTAGGCAACCTTCCAGAATGGATGGAAAGTATGTGTGCAACTCAAGTTCTTGAAAATGATTTTTCTTTTCATAAAACTTTTGTTCCCTGTGTGTGTGTGTATACACTGGATTGCAATAAAAAATATGTAACTACAGGGTATGGTCAAAAACATTTGAAAAAGATATTGTAAACATAATCAAAGTTCTCTCTGCCCTAGGTACATAAAAAAATATTATTATATAATCTACCAGGACTACCACATAATATGCTAAAGGAAGTTTTATTTTTCATTGTGGTAAATAAACCACAATAAAGATTTACCATGTAGCTATTTTAAAGTGTCCAGTTCTGTGGCATTAAGTTCATTGACGTTATTGTACAATCATATCATCATCCCTCTCCAAAATATTTTAATCTTCCCAAAGTAAAACTCTGCAGAAATTAAACAATTTAACTCTCAACTCCTCCCTCTCCCTGGCCCCAAGCCACCACCACTCTTCTAGTCTCTGTGAACGTGATCACTTTGGGTATCTCAGATAAACGGAATCATACAGAATTTGTCTTTTTGTGACTGGTCTACTTCATTCAGCATATGTCCTCAAAGTTAATGCATATCACAGCATGTATCAGACCCTCCTTTCTTTTTAAGGCTGAATAATGTTCCGTTGTATGTATACATCACATTTTTTGTCCATGCTCATGAGTTGGTATATTGAAATCATGCCCAGGTAAATTTTGGAAAATACTATCACTGTAGTTAATGGTTCAAAGCAACAAAATTAATCCAGTTATATATTCTTTAAAGGACATGATGAAATTCAGAATCTGCTTCCCTTAGAAAAGATGTAAATAAAGATATATTTTTCAACATTCTAAGTTCCTTTGGTTATCATCAAATTACTTAAGTGAAGTTAATTTATGCCTCATCTTATTGCATTTACTTTTGGAAAAGACCAACCAAAAATGAGTGATAAGTATTTGGGACTGGTCCTGACCATGATAAATATACTCATTTACAACTCTGTTCCATTTAAAATGTTTCTTTCACAGAACCATGCAGAGGAAGGCAGGGCCAGCATTTATCGGTCAGTCTTTACCAACTCTTCCAAAGAGATGACATGTTTTCCAGACTTCCCATGTCCTGATGATTTTCCTAACTTTATGCACAACAGCAAGCTCCAGGAATATATTACTATGTTTGCCAAAGAAAAGAACCTCCTGAAATACATACAATTTAAGGTAAGATATTATTTTAAAAAACTTACTGTGGGCATAACTGTGAGGAATTCTGTATTTATTACAAGATTCCTATTTGTTCTTTTCACTATCTCTTTCTCAATTGTAAACAATTTTAACAGTATGGCTTCTTTGACCCTAGATTTAGAAAGCATACATTCTTCTTAAGAATATGTAGGAAATTTTCAACATTCTTGGACCAAAATGCCATAAAAGTAGAAATCAGAGCAAAGAAAAAAATGCATGGGTAGACATGAATTTATAAATTAAGAACTCATTATTCCTAAACAATTTACAGGTCAAAAAAAGAAATTGCAGGGAAATTTTTAAAATATTTAGAGCTAAATGATAATTTAAATTTGATATACCAATATTTATGGGAAGTAGAGAGAACAAAAACTTTTATGAAAATTATAAGCTTAAATGTTTATGTCAGAAAATAAGAAAGATTTTCCAGGTGATCCTTAAGCATACTAAAATATGAAAACTTACACTCTGGATATAGATGATATTTTTCATTTTGAGACAATAACATTAAAAATAAAATGACAAGGAAGTATATTAGGAAATTGCCGTTACTAAAAAAATTATTGGCCACCAGGTTATTTACTACATGTTCTACCTGGCTCTTGGAAACTATAATTCAATTGTCAGATCTCCAAAAGGAATCACTCTTATACTGCAGAGAATACTGGTCATACACAAGGAACCATGTGGAAATAAAATTTAATAAAACATATAGATAAGGACTTCCCTGAAGGTCCAGTGGATAAGAATCTGCCTTGCAATGCCCACCAGTTCGATCTCTGGTCTGGGAAGATCCCACATACATGGAGCAGCTAGGCCCAGGAGTTGCGACTACTGAGCCCACATGCCACAACTACTGAAGTCTGCATGCCCTAGAGCCTGTGCTCTGCAACAAGAGAAGCCATCACATTGAGAAGTCTTCATACCACACTAGAGAGTAGCTCTTAATTTCTAACACTGAGGTGCCATATCATTCTATGATCATTTGGTAAAATTGGAAAGCCTTTCTATGTTTTGATGATCTGGGAAAGGTGGCCTTCTTAATCTACTAAAGAGACCATTAAGGAAGCTGTGGGGTTAATTTCACTCCAATAATGACAAAACCCTGATAGTGTTTAATATCAGTGCATCTTCACAAAACTCAATGACTGCACAAGTACAAAGTTTAAAAAAAGAAAAAGAATCCTCCTTCCTTGAAGGCCTACTGTAATAGACTCCCTGGCCTCGCTTCTTTCTCCCTTATATCCCTCTATTATTGTTTATGGAAATTTTCCCCTGAGGAGCCATGTGTTCCAATTTATAGGGAGTGTCCATGTTATGAAATAGTGAAAGCTAATTGATTCATTTGGGGAGGAAACGTAAATCTTCCTCAGTTGGCATCATCCTCAAACCTACAGAGAAAAATGGAATAGAAAAACAACCCTGCAAGCACTTTTAACTCAGCCTTCACTTCTCAGCCCAGCTCATTCTCTTACTTTGTTAAGAAACAGCGTGGTATGACTGGGACACGGAAGAAAAAGAAAAGCATGTTGTCACTTGAGTGAGACTGCCTCAGAAATGTTACCAAGTCAGGGTTGGGTGTTTCCTGTCCTTTGGAAGAGAACAGGCCTAAATAGTACCTTCCTCTTCCTGTAGCTACAAGGCAGGCACCATGATTGAGATCAGAGATGCTTCCTTAGCTGACTTTTAATCAAGTGTAAATTTAACTTCAAACACATAGCAAAAGGATGAGAGTGAACAATTGCTGTATTTGTACAGGATCTATTTCATGTAAACTCTGTGTCTTGAACAAAATATGAACCACCTAAAGAATGAAATTAGAAAGTCAGTGGGAGAAAGAGCTGTAGAATCAACGACCTATATTTAAATTTTGAACCTAGTTATTGGATTTTATGCACATTATCTAACTTCTTTAAGCCTCCATTTCATATGTAAAATGAAGCAACTATGTATCTTGTAGAATTATTCTGAAGATCAAATAAAGGCCTTAAAGAAGTTTAGAAAAATAAAATGACTAAAGAAATATGTTAGAAAATTGCTGTTACTATGTAAATTATTGGCCACCAGATTATTTACTACATGGGCTACCTCCTTCTTGTAAACTATAATTCAATCGTCAGAGCCCCAAAATGAATCACTCTTGTATTGCATAGAATACTGGTCATACACAAGGAACTATGTGGGGATTAAAATACACACACACACACACACACACACACACACACACACAGATAGGGGCTTCCCTAGTGGTCCAGTGGATAACAATCTGCCTTGCAATGCAAGGGACACTGGTTCGATCCCTGGTCCAGGAAGATCCCATGTGCCACGTGCAACTAAGCCTGAGAGTTACAACTACTGAGTGCACACTCTGCAGCACAACTCCTGAAATCTGCATCCCCTAGAGCCTGTCTCTACAACAAGAAAAGCCACCACAATGAGAAGCACTCACGCCATAACTAGAGAGTAGCCCCTGCTCACTGCAACTAGAGAAAGTCTGTGAAGCAACAGAGATGCAGCACAACCAAAAATAAATATTTTAAAAAATCATACAGATAATTTTATGCTGTGACTTATTAAAAAGGAATTTTGAATTTATAATGTGCACCTTCATAATGAATTAAGTATTTTTCCTAAGGCACTATTAAGGATTTTCTTCATACTATTTGATGATGTTGGTGTCAAATCTGCCTGTTAGCATAGAATAAAGAAAATTACCTTTCTATGTTTCTCTTAGACAATTGTATCCAGTGTAAATAAGTGTCCCGATTTCTCAACCACCGGCCAGTGGGATGTTATCACTGAAAAGGATGGTAAAAAGGAATCAGCTGTCTTTGATGCCATAATGATTTGTTCTGGACATCATGTGTACCCCAACATACCTAAAGAGTCCTTTCCAGGTAAGGCCAATGTTTACGCTGCCATCCACACATCTTGCATGAAGAAATAACCTTGATAATGTCTTTCTTATATATACAAAAGTATAGTTTATAAAAGTACACATTAAATTAAAATATGCTTCGAATGTATCTAATGGGGTTCCCAAGCTGCTCAGTGAAAAGAATCTGCCTGCCAATGCAGGAGATGCAGTAACTCTCCTCCTGGGTCAGAAAGATCCGCTGGAGGAGGGCATGACAACCCACTCCAGTATTCTTGCCTAGAGAGTCCCGTCGACAGAGGAGCCTGGTGGGTTACGGTCCATAGGGTCGCAAAGAGTTGGACATGACTGAGCACATATATCTATACAATTAGATATACTGTATCTAATATAGTTTAAGTATTAAAATTCCTATTACTGCAACCGTATTCACTGACAAGTTCTGTTATAGCAGTTTATTTTTTTAAGTGAAAATCAAAATAATTCATATGTTTTCCACTTTTTCACTCAGGAATAAAACTTTTTAAAGGCGAATGCTTCCACAGCCGGGACTATAAAGAACCAGGAATCTTCAAGGGGAAGCGAGTCCTGGTGATTGGTCTGGGGAACTCGGGCTGTGACATCGCCTCAGAACTCAGCCAAACAGCCGAAAAAGTATGCCTCCCTGAAATTCAGGGAACTATGTTTAAAGGGACAGCCATACCATTTTAAAAGTGTGAGGGGAGGGCAGAGGCCTTGATACAAAGACTAAGTAGGGATTCATATAGCTCAACGTCCTTTGGTAAGAGGTAGGATTTTTAAATAGCTTGATGTGGCAAAAGCAGAACATCGGCTGCAATGATGTCATTCAACAAGCTTTTTCTTTGGGATGTTTGGTGCCTAATGTGTCCAATAAATTCTTCCAAAACCAGTGGGATCATCAGACAAGCACTATAAGAAATATGACCAGTATTCAGTTATTGGTAACCTACACCAGAGAATATTTGGCTAAAAGATGAAAATACTGAGGAAATGATTTGACAGGTGTTGATACTAAGATATCGGTTATAGTGCAGGAAGTTTATTTGGTAGTGCTCTCTGGATGAATACCTCTGAGGGAAGGAAAAGAAGTTTTCCTTTATTTACTCTGAAGCTACGATAATCCTTTCAAATTGTCCCTAGTTGAAGTGAAAAGCTGGGTAATTTCTTTTTTTTTTTTTCCAGTATAGATGTTCATTTTTATTTACATATATCACCTACCTTTTGATCCTCCCTCCCATCCCACTCCCATCCCACCTCTCTAGGTCATCACAGAGCACCTAGAGCATGTTATATGGAATATGTATATGAGCATATATATATGAGCATATATATATGGAGCATATATATGAGCATATATATGGAATCTAGAAAAATGGTACAGATGAACCTATTTGCAGGGCAGGAATAAAGATACAGATGTAGAGAATGGACTTGTGGACACAGCAGGGGAAGGAGAGGGTGAGACAAATTGAGAGATGCTAGTTCTTTGTCTTCCTCCCTCAACCAGTCACTGAATGCAGGGGATCCAAAAAGAGTATAAGATGTTGGGGGAGGCCCCCTCTTCACCAAAGCAACTCCCAGAGAGGGCTGAGAGCTGAGGGCTGCCTTCTGGGCACTGCCAGCAGTGGTGTAATAACTCCATTCCTAAAGACAGATCTGAGGGGCATATCCACTACAAACAGTCACCACTTTAACAGTTGAACTGGTGTTTTTCAAGGTCATCATCAGCTCCCGAAGTGGCTCCTGGGTGATGAGCCGGGTCTGGGATGAAGGCTATCCGTGGGACATGCTGACTGTCACTCGATTTGAAACATTCCTCAAGAATACGTTACCGACAGTCATCTCTGACTGGTGGTACATGAAGCAAATGAATGCCAGATTCAAGCACGAGAACTATGGCTTGATGCCTTTAAACGGGTAAAGCAGAGTTAAATATGAAATGCCTGCTTTTATTTCACTGTCAACAACCCTAATGTGTGATATAACCCCCATACAAGTCAGAGTGAAGTAATCACCTATCACATTTCATAGGACAAAGAATTGCAAAAATTAGGAGTGTTTTCCTGTTTCACAATTCTCCTTACCAGATTTGCACAGCTGGACAGTTATATAATAGGTCAAGAATTTTAGTCCCTAGAGTGATGATAATAATAGTCAACATGTTTTTAAGTACTTAATACATGTCAGAGCTTTATTAAGTCTCAGACATACATTATCTCACTTTACTCTCACAACGCCTATGAAAAACTGAAAGTGTTAGTGTCGGTTGTGTCCAGCTCTTTTTGACCCTATGGACTGTAGCCCACCAGGCTCTTCTGTCTTTGGGATTCTCCAGGCAAGAATATTGGAGTAGGTTGCCATTCCCTTCTCCAGGAGATCTTCCCAACTCAGGGATCAAACCCCAGTCTCCTTCATTGCAGGCAGATTCTTTACCATCTGAGCCACCAGGGGAGCCACAGCAACTATGATGATGGCTCTATTATAATCTTCATTGTAGAGATGAGAAAACTGTGGTTTACCAAAGCCACACATCTGGGAAGTCAGAAATAGCAATTGAAACAAGTCCAGATTTGCTGACTCCGAAGTGCCTCACTCATAGCCGCCTTGCTCTAAAGCCTTTCTTAACTTCAGAGTTAAGCAAAGCAGGACTTGGCGCTTGACTCTCATTCAGCTCAATTCAGTCACTCAGTCGTGTCCAACTCTTTGTGACCCCATGGACTGCAGCATGCCAGGCTTCCCTGTCAATCACCAACTCCCGAAGCTTGCTCAAATGCATGTCCATTGAGTCGGTGATGCCATCCAACCATCTCATCCTCTGTCATCCCCTTCCCCTCCTGCCTTCAATCTTTCCCAGAATCAGGGACTTTTCCAATGAGTCAGTGCACCGTATCAGGTGGCCAAAGTATTGGAGTTTCAGCATCAGTCCTTTCAATGAATATTCAGGAGTGATTTCCTTTAGGACTGACTGGTTGGATGTCCTGGCAGTCCAAAGGACTCTCAAGAGTCTCCTCCAACACCACAGTTCAAAAGCATTAATTCTTCAGCGATCAGTTTTCTTTATGGTCCAACTCTCACATCCATACATGACCACTGGAAAAAACTGTAGCTTTGACTAGACAGACCTTTGTTGGCAAAGTACTATTTCTTCTTTTTAGTATGCTATCTAGGTTGTTCATAACTTTTCTTCCAAGGAGTAAGTGTCTTAATTTCATGCCTGCAGTCACCATCTGCAGTGATTTTGGAGCCCAAGAAAATAAAGTCTCTCAACCAAGTTTCCATTGTTTCCCCATCTATTTGCCATGAAGTGATGGGACCAGATGCCATGATCTTAGTTTTCTGAATGTTGAGTTTTAAGCCAACTTTTTCACTCTCCTCTTTCACTTTCATCAAGAGGCTCTTTAGTTCTTCTTCACTTTCTGCCATAAGGGTAGTGTCATCTGCATATCTGAGGCTACTTATATTTCTCCCGGCAATCTTGATTCCAGCCTGTGCTGCATCCAGCTTGGCATTTCACATGATGTACTCTGCATATAAGTTAAATAAACAGGGTGACAATATACAGCCTTGATGTACTCCTTTCCCAATTTGGAACCAGTCTGTTGTTCCATGTCCAGTTCTGACTGTTGCTTCCTGACCTGCATACAGATTTCTTAAGAGTCAGGTCAGATGGTCTGATATTCCCATCTCTTGAAGAATTTTCCACAGTTTGTTGTGATCCACACAATCAAAGGCTTTGGTGTAGTCAATAAAACAGAAGTAGATGTTTTTCTCTCTCACTTTTTCGATGATCCAGCGGATGTTGGCAATTTGATCTTTTGTTCCTCTGCCTTTTCTAAATCCGGTTTAGACATCTGGAAGTTTACCATTCACATACTGTTGAAGCCTGACTTGGAGAATTTTGAGCTTTACTTTGTTAGTGTGTAAGATGAGTGCAATTGTATGGTAGTTTGAGCATTCTTTGGCCTTGTCTTTCTTTGGGATTGGAATGAAAACTGACCTTTTTCAGTCCTGTGGCCACCACTGGGTTTTCCAAATTTGCTGGCATAATGAGTGTAGGACTTTCACAGCATCACTTTTTAGGATTTGAAATAGCTCAACTGGACTCCATCACTACCACTAGCTTTGTTCATAGTGATGTTTCCTAAGGCCCACTTGACTTCACATTCATTACCTCATTGCATCATTCATTACCTTTGCTCTCATTACCTGCTCCTTAATGGAGCCCTTCCACTGAACTATGGCCACAATACTTTCATCTTCAGCCTTCTCCTCACTCTCTCCTATAATATTCTCCAAGCCAGTCACATGATAAGAAATTACTTGGACATGGGTGAAAACCCCAAGTTCTAAGCTGTTTACATCAAAGTTAATTCATTAAGTCAACACATAGTTACTAAGCATTTATTATGTGCCAGGACCTGTGGATATAGCAGTGAACAAACTCATAAAATCCCTATCCTCATGGGGCTTACATTCTAATAATGGGAAACAGACACAAATAGCTCAAAATTGTATATACCAAAGAGAAAAAATAAGGCAGACAAGGGTAACCGGGAATGACATTAAGACAATTTTAAACAGCCCTTAGAGAAGGTCTCACTGAAAAAGCTTTCAAGCAAATTTCTGAAGGAGATGAGAAAATGAGCCACAAAGGTATCTGGAGAAGACTATTCTAGACAGTAGAAACAGCTAGGACAGCATCTCTTCAGGAGTATGACTGGCATGTTTGACAAAATACAGTGGCTTCTTTTCTTGGAGAAGAAGACTGGGGAGAACAGCAGGAAATTAAACCAGAGACATCAAAATAACCAGCTTACACTGGGTCTTGGAAGCCATTGTAAAGACTCTGGCCTTTACTCTGAATGCAGTGGGAAACTATAGCAGGCATCTGACCCAACTGGAGACAAGGTCTAAGTTAATTTGAAGAGATCACTTTGGCTGTTATGGTCATAACTCACTGTAGGGGGTCAAGGAAGGAAGTGGAAAGACTGGTTAAGAAGCTATTATCAAAAACCCAGATGAGATGGGAAGGTGGCCTGAACTGATCATCAGTGCTCAGAAGTTGTCAGATTGGGATAGAGTTTGAAGGTAAACTGAACAGGATTTTCTGTTCGATTGAATAGCAAATGTGAAAGCAAACAAAATGTCAAGGATGTCTTTCAGACTTTTGATCTGAGCAAGGGAGCAAAGATGGAGGTGATGTCTACTGAGATGTGGACAACCATGGGAGGAGCAGAAGTTTAGTTTTAAATGTATTAAAGTTGGAATGCCTGTTTTGGATTTGCATAGAAGAATGTGGAATGGCAGTGGGTACATAAGACAGAAGAGAGATTCAAACCCTAAGTTTAAAATGTGGACTGGTCAGAATATAGATAATATTTAAATAAATGAAAACTAGATGACATCTCTTGAAGAATGAATGTCAATAGAGAAGACAAAAGACCTGAGACATGTCACTATTTAGAGGTCTGGAAGAGAAGAATTCAGCAGGGGACACTGAGAAGAAATAGTGAGGTATAGCAAGGTAGGTAGAAAGGAATCAAGAGTGAGTGATGACGTGAAAGCAAAACAGAGTGTTTCAAGGAGGAGGAAACCATCAAGTGTGAGTTTACTAATAAATTGGGTAAAATAAGGAGTAAGAGTAGACCACTGGAACTGGTGGCTTGCAGATCCTGGTGGCCTTGACAAAGGAAGTTTCAACATGGAAGTGAGCTTAAGATAAATGGAAGATAATTTGAGCAGTTGAATCCAGCCTTCTTCCAACCAGCAGTCCAACCAATCTCATTGTCTGGCTCAGTTTCCTCCCCTGTAGCATCTATCTATGGCTTTCTCTCTCACACACACTGTTCCGATCATCCTATAAGAACCATGTCTTTTCTTCCAACATTATTCTGTTCACCCCTAAGGCAGAGTTCTGTGCACTCACTAGAGATATTATTGAATAGAAAATAATCGAAAGCTCTCTGTTTCCAGATTTCCAGTTTCCTCTTTCTTCTCCTGGCCTTATTTAAGTTCCTAGACCATCACTTCCTCACCTGACATGGCTTTGTCTGCATGGGGTTCACACTTCACCCTCTATGATAGAACCTGGCTGCAGCCTTCCACCTTTGTCTTCTTTCCTCCTATATGATCTTCTTTACATCACAGTGGTCACTTTGGATTATATTACATTAAGAATAATGGTTAACATTTCGAGCACTATCTATGTGCTACAAACTGTGCCAAATTCTTTATATTACTTAGGTCTGCCGATGACCTGAGTTAGGTATAGCTGTTACTGCCACTTCAGGTGAGGAAGATAAGGCAAGAGAAATTAAGAAAATCTAATTTGATCAAGGTTCACAGTTAATTAGTAGCAAAGAAATAAATTTAAAGACCCAGGTACTCTGACCTTTGTTTTTCCTGATACAGGGGATATGGTCTGAGTGCTTATTCTGGAATTTGGGGAGAGTTCTGTGGGGAAAGAGAGAAAGATTGTAGGAAATAGAGATGGGATTAGCAAAAACCAACTTCTGTTACTCCACAATGTGGCCTTACATAAGTTTTATCTATCAGTCATGTTGATGACACTCCATGGCACGTTAAAAAAATCTTAAGTAGGTTTTTCCTATCAATTAATTATAAACCAATTAAAAAAAAAAGGAAATGGTACTGTTCTAATGCTTGTTTTCCATACAGCACCCTGAGGAAAGAGCCTGTGTTCAATGACGAACTCCCAGCTCGCATTTTATGTGGCATCGTGACCATTAAGCCAAATGTGAAGGAGTTTACAGAGGATTCAGCTATTTTTGAGGATGGGACAGTGTTTAAGGCCATTGACTGTGTCATCTTTGCAACAGGCTACAGTTGTGCCTACCCCTTTCTTGATGACTCCATCATTAAGAGCAGAGACAATGAGGTCACCTTATTTAAAGGCATCTTCCCGCCTACACTGGAGAAGCCAACCTTGGCTGTTATTGGCCTTGTCCAGTCACTTGGAGCTGTCATCCCCACTACTGACCTGCAGTCTCGCTGGGCAGTACAAGTAATTAAGGGTAAGTAGACAAAGATGTTCATTGATGGGGAAGATGAGAATGCCTTTGAATCTTTAGGAAAATAATATTCCTATTAACAAGCAACAAATTCTAGGTCCCACCCAGTTTCCAGAATCTATAAGTCTATATTTTTGGTACTATATTTTATAAGCAATTAAAAATATATTGGATTGTCACAAATAATAGTACAAGACAATGATTCAAGAGTATTTTTGTGATTTATAACTTCTTGCATGCTCAGTCGCTTAAGTCGTACCTGACTCTTTGTGACCCCATGGACCATACCCTGCCAGGTTACTCTGTCCATGGGATTCTCCAGGCAAGAAAACTGGAGTGGCTTGCCACTTCCTCTTCCAGGGGATCTTCCCAACCCAGGGCTTGAAGTCACATGTCTTATGTCTCCTGCATTAGCAGATGGGTTCTTTACCACCAGCACCACCTGTTAAGCCCTATAACTCCTTAGAATTGTCAGTTACCCAAGACCTTTCATTAAACTTGAGAATACCAGAGCTTCTCATCTTAGGTGCAGGAGAACTTTATAAAATTAAGGTTTCCAAAACTCAATAGAATGACATTGCCTGAAAGGTTAATGAAAGAAAATGTTTCAAAGCCAATATCCAGCAACTTTAAATATCCACATTCATGAAAAATAGTATGATTTCTGGAAAGGAGGTGGCTTTCTTGCTCTGTTTTCTTCCTTGCCATGTATCAGATAAAGACAAGCAGTGAATCAGTAGAAGCAGAAAGCATTTGGTGTTGTAGACATTCTCTAAGGTAAAGGGATACTAAGTCCTGTATTTTAAAAAGAAAAAAGAAACAATGAACTTGATTGGGGTCAAGCAAAGAAGGCAGACAGCATCATCCAGCCCCAAGTACTGGAATCAGATTCACATTAAGGTTTGAATGCCATGTGGGCAGATTCAGATAATAAATCCAAGCTATGGTTAAACAACAAATCAAGATATCAAAGTGTAAAGTGCAAAATCTGGTTGGTCTTAAACCTGAAACTTCTGGATAATGAATCTTAGCAGGTCTGCTTCCTTTGAAGCCACGTGTAAGGCTTCCAATCCTACCTGACTTGTTGGGGTTTAAATGCTCTTTTATCCTGGATATTTGAACCTGCAACTACATATCCTGCATCATCACTCACCACCAGGCTCCCAACCACATCATTATGGTCCTACATATCAGCAATCTCTCTAAATCTCCTTCACTCCCCTGGTTCCAAGCAGAGATGTGTTTCAGGGTGATGTTTCTCCAGCAAGGCAGCAGCCAGGAAAGTGATGGAATGAAATTCTACATAGAACTGAACTCAAGATTCAGGTTCAGAGAGACTGGCATTAAAATGTAGGTCTTAATTGCTTATAAAATATTCACTTACTCTCTGTGAAGATACTAGTTATAACCTGGGCCCTGAAGAAAGGAGACAGGGCAGAGACCCAGCCAACAGAGAACTGATGCAAAGACTCAGTCTTAGGGAAAATGAGAGATAAGGCAAACAACCCAATTTGAGGGAATCGGATTACCAGACCAAGGGGTCAGTTACAAGCAGCCCAATGGCAATAGCTGTGGACTACAGAACATAACCTCTTCTCTATCTCTCCTCTTGCCCAAGGACAGAACCAGTTCCAAGGTTTGGAACAATGCCATGTTGACAGACTGTTCTTGTGATTCCACCTGTAGGGATTTCAGGAACAGAGAGCCATTGTAGGTCTTGAGCAATCAGAGCTAGACTGGAAATTCCAGTCTTATTCCAGGTGATCACAAAGTTGCCAAAGAAACCACACTAGATTTGAAGCATCTCCGAGTACAAGAGTTTGGGTCTAGGTTTTAGAGAATTCTGTAAGTTAATGCCAGGAACAGCCTGAAATCCTGGGGCAGCCCCAACTCAGATTTGGCCTCCCAGGACCTCCCTATGTCCTTGGTGACTTGTGGGCAGTCTACATCCACAGTTTCATTCAGGAGCTGTTGGCTTTCCAGAGAGAACATTGTAGCTTCACTAAATTCTCTATCTTATCTGTTGGAAATTCCCTTTTGGGGCAAAGCAAGATAACTTCCTATGAAGATCTGTTTGTTAAATCTTAAAAAAAGAGATGTCAATATACCTTTGACTATAATTTATTAGATGACATACTTAAAAATAAAGCTGAGAGAGTAGAATATAATCCTTCAAACTGATTTTTAAATCCAATAACCAGTTTAAGAGCAAAGATAGAAAGATGAAAGGTTGTTCGGTTTTAATCACTGTGACAATAATCATCTCTGAGAAGATTAGGAATGACTTATATGTTTGTTTCAGAATGACTCCCTGGTTATTTGTTCGATTTTATTTTGCTAGATAATGACAACAAAATTTGAAAATACTAATGTGATTCACAACTCATTATTAAAAAACAAACATTGCAGGCTGGTCCTATGCCAGACTTTTTTAACTATTATCATGTCTTTCCACTTTTTTTTAGGAACTTGCCCTTTGCCTTCTGTCAAGGACATGATGAATGATATTGATGAAAAAATGGGGAAAAAGCTCAAATTGTAAGAGCATCTATGGTAAAGGGGATCTAGAATTTTCATAGCAAAATCTGAATTTGTGAATACTTAGTACTGTTTTAGTCTTGAATAGTCCTCAGTGGAGCCATTAGGGTGACAGCTATGAGCTAATTCAGCCATTCAACAAATAGTTATCAAGGATCTACTTTGCACCTGATATGCCACTAAATCCTGTTTCAGCCCTCCATAGCTCCTGCAATATATCATAAAAAGGAGACCCAGAAAGATTAAAAATCAGAGAAGTTTGGTAACACATGGATGTGGACTTCTATTTTCTAGCTCATAAATCCTCTAAAATGTAAGGATGCCTTCCAACAGGTGGCTCTAATAAAATGACTCAGCCATACCAGAACTAGTCAGGAGAACTGGGCTCCAGTCTACGTCACTAATCAGCTCAGTGGCCATGAATTAATAACTTCACTTGAGCAAGAGACAATTCCTGTACTTGTAAATGTGGATTAAAATGCCTTTCTCAGCGGCCTTGTTGTGTTGTGAAATGTCCAAGTGAGATCAGTATGAAAGTCCTTCAGTAAAATCTACAAAGTACTACATAATGAGCAATAATCCCCTTACCAACAAAAGGATAGATGTTGATTTGCATGGATAAAAAGGTGTTCTTGTTTCTACACAAAGCTCAGATAACCACAGTCTTGTTTCTCTCCCTCGTCTAGGTTTGGCAAAAGTGATACCATACAGACAGATTATGTGGTTTATATGGATGAACTTGCCTCCTTCATTGGGGCAAAGCCCAACATCCCATGGCTGTTTCTCACCGATCCAAAGTTGGCGTTGGAGGTTTACTTTGGTCCTTGCACACCATACCAGTTTAGGCTGGTGGGCCCAGGAAAGTGGCCAGGAGCCAGGAACGCCATCCTGACCCAGTGGGACCGGTTACTGAAACCCATGATGACCAGAGTGGTTGGGAGTCCTCTGAAGCCTTGCTTATTTTGCAACTGGTTCAGACCAGTTCTTATTTCTGTTGTATCAATTGCTGCTTTCATTGTGTTGTTCTAGCCATCACTCTATCTAGGATTCTGAACATTACTAACAATATCTGGGAAGAAACTTCACTATATAAAAATTAAGAATTTCACACCTCCTATTTTCCTATTCAGTGGGCATTAGTAAGACAGTACTATGGCTAGGCTTCTAAATAAGTGCATATAAGAATCATGGCATGATCTAAAGAGCATTTATCATTTCCCCTTAATTTTCACTAACATTTCTTAATTCCATAACATTTTATAGTTAGATATATGCTTTTTAACTTAACTCATCTGAAATATTGACATGATTCCTTTTCTCCTTTAACAGTCTTTGAAATACATATTTCAAATCTAAACAGTGAGTAAATTAAGCAGAGTAGTCACAATATGATAGTCTCAGCCTAATTTTACAAACCATTCACCAGAATCAAGGGGAGAATTTGGTTATTTGGCTATTATATTCAATTTTTGTTTTCTGCTGTGTCCTCCAGGCAATTCCTCTTGTTCCCTGGCCAAGAAAAGTAGCATGAAGATCCTGTCTGTAATGAAAGTTAGCAAGAAGTAACTCATTTTATTTATATTCTCAATAAAAAAATAAACTTTCACATGTAGCAGCAAGATAAGGACAACAGCAGCAATGAGTGGAGCACCAAATATACCTTTTAACTGAATGGAAAGTCATAAAAAATTAAATCTTTAGCCAAAGCTATGACCCAAGTCTAATAAAACCTGATATGGATCATATAGAATTATATCCCTTATGGAATGTAGTACCAAAATAAATCTAAAATGTTATTTTTAAAGTATTATTACATGTTACAATTAAATTTTGATAGTTAAAAATGTTTGACATTATGGAGCAGATAAAATAATCTATTAGCATCATCAGTTACCAGGGGGTTCTTCATATTGTTAAACTCTATATTTCTTACTACACCTTCAATTTTTTTCCAGACAAATTTTATTATTTTTAAAAATTGTGTTATATTTGATTATGAAGGAACAGACACAGATTTGGGGGAAAATACTATTGTATCCTTCTTCTTCACAATTCCTTTCTCTATTATAAAATACTTACAAAACCCTGGAACCTGTCAAACCTCTACCAGTTCCTAATAACCACACAAAAAGTCCTGCTAGGCTCAGAAGTCAGGATAGCCCAAGCAGAACAGCCCCTTTAACCTGTCAGAGACTGAGGACACACCCATACCTTCATCTATAGCTAGAGCCAGTAGAGAAACAAGAGGAGAAGGAGACCACGTTTTTCTCTAACACTTTCTTCTTTTCTTTTTTTAATTCTCTTGGTATTTTAATCTTCAGAGCTAAGATTTATTATGGACGCTGCTATACACAGCAGCAGAATTTAAATCATTCCCTTTTCCTAACTATTTAAGTCAACGGACATGAGCCAGTGAAGGATAGGGAAGCCTGGCGTGCTGCAGTCCATGGGGTTGCAAAGAGTCGGACACAACTGAGTGACTGAACAACAAAGCAGAGTAGCATTCTGCTTTTAAGTTCTTCTTACAAGATGTGAAATATTCCTAAATATTCCCAAGTGACACAGAACTTTTCTGGAAACCCTATGGCCTAAATGGAATCAAGTAAACAAATTAAATACAGCTCATAAAATTTATTTTGTTGAAGTTATAAATGCTAGTGCACAAAATAAATTGAAGACTAAAATTGATATGATACAGTTTCTGTTATTCTTCCTCATATGATTCTTTAAGTTTTGTAAACACTAATTGGCTCATGAAGGATAGAATATTCTTCCTAAACTATTATCACCAACATACTCTTTTTAAAATTAATTTTTATTGGAGTATAGAAACTAATAAAATTGTTAGTTTCTACTGTACAGAAAATGAATCACTGATATGTACACATATATCCCCCTCCTTTCGGACTTGCTTTCCATGTAGGTTACCACAGCACATTAGGTAGAGATATACTCTCTTAATAGTCCTATTAACATTCATCTATTCCCATAACAACTGCTTCCCAGGTGGTTCAACAGAATCTGACTGCCAATGCAGGAGACTCAGGGGACAGGGGTTCGATTACTGGATCAGGAAAATCTCCCAGAGGAGGAAATGGCAATCCACTCCAGTATTCTTGCAGAAGAATCCCATGGACAGAGAAGCCTGGCCGGGCGGGGTGGGGGTGGGGGTGGGGGGTGCGGGGGGCGGGGAGCGGGGGTGGTGCTACAAGTCCACAGGGTCACAAAGAGTTGGATATGACTAAGCATGCTCACACACATACCCATAGGAAACAACTATTTCAATGTCTTAATTACTTTGTACATAACATTGCTGGTAAGTCACTTCAGTCATGTCCGACTCTGTGCGACCCCATAGACAGCAGCCCACCAGGCTCCCCTGTCCCTGGGATTCTCCAGGCAAGAACACTGGAGTGGGTTGCCATTTCCTTCTCCAATGCATGAAAGTGAAAAGTGAAAGTGAAGTCGCTCAGTCATGTCCGACTCCTAGCGACCCCATGGACTGCAGCCTACCAGGCTCCTCCATCCATGGGATTTTCCAGGCAAGAGTACTGGAGTGGGTTGCCATTGCCTTCTCCAGTACATAACATTAATGATTCTCAATTATTCATTTCTGCATATTTAACTCTGATAAGACTAAATGTGTGTGTGTGTATTTCAACTGACTTACAGAATTTGAACATATGAAGCATACAAGATTATTTTCACTTCCAGTTTCATCTAAAAATTCTTACCAATTCTTTAAAGTACACAGTCAGATATTAAAAATAAAAGCAAATACAATTTTTTTTGTACAGTTGACAAAGCTATGCTGATTAGGTATGAAACTGACCTGCAGGATCACAGTATTATTGGCCACATCCAGTTACCATAATGGGAGGAAGGGCATTGAAAGAGGTTTTGGCAATTCAGCCATTTAGAATTATCCAGCTTCTGAAACCAAGTAGTAGATTTTGGTCAAAATCTACTGAAGTCAATGCCAATCTTCAGTGTATTTAACTACCAATCTTTTTCACTTTTTCTTTTCTGGCCTTTCATTTTCCTCTATCTTTCTCTCCTTTCTTCTCTGTTGACATTCTTTCTTCTTCTTTTCTTTCTTCAACTTCTTTGTCTTCCTTCTTCCCCTTCTGTCTTTCTTTTTCCTTTTCCTTCAGCAGAAATGGAGGCAGGAACACTCACTTCAGAGGACTCTTAGATCTTCCCACATGCTAACCCCAAACAGTCTTCCAAAATGTGAGCATGCTCCCCTAGGCACAGCCATGCAAGATGCTCTGATGAAAATGCTGAGTTAAATATCACCCTTTAAGTCTATATTTAAATATATTCAGTCAGGTACACAGTCTGGTATGTAACAGAGAACTGGAAAAACAACAACAACAACAACAGCTAACTTTGCTTTGAGCAAGCAGAAACACTTTTTATAGAAATCAAGTCTGTGTTCTCAGCTGTCCAAGATTTTCAGAATTTGCTACAATCTGCTATAATGTTAGAGTAATAATTAAAGCTTAATTAGTCCTCAGAATGACACCAATAATACAGAGATTCTCCAGAAGTCAAGAGAAATAAAAGAAAAAAAAGAGAAGTCTAGTTTTTCTATATGAACATTTTTTTTAATGAAGAACTGTCAAAAATACTACAAAAACTGTAATTTATCTTAAAAAGTTATATAGCAAAAACTAAAACTTTAGCACAAAAGAATATAATACAATATTGCTTATATAGTCAAAAGATAACTACAGGTTTTATTACTAAAATAGGGATTTATAATACGTTACCCATACCCTAAGATTCAGTGGCAAATTCAATCTTTAAAGATAGAAAATTTCTTTCAGTTCTATCATAGTGAATTACATTTGGAGACAACACTAAAATGATAAGCGTGAGGCCCTTTATAAATATAAGTCTTGGACCAAGAGGTCTCTCTGATGGCCCTTCTAATCAGGATCTTAAAAGTCAGTGGTCCTCAACACAATCCAATACAATATCCAATATAATACCTGCCGGGAGTCATTACGGGAGATCCCACCCATGACAAGGTCATGAGGAGAAGACCTGAAACGCAAGGCTGTTCAGGCTACAAGGGACCCTCCAGGTTGACCCTGGCCTCTACCCAACCCTGTAGCCTCCTCCTCTTGCTGTTGTCCCTGTTCGTCCTGTTGAGGATCTTTGCATTGCCTGCTGAGAGCTCTCCTGCTACTCTTTCACTAAATAAAGGCCAACATAGAACCCTAATTAATAAATCTCCTGGACGCTGGTTCCCTATGAAGGGGCCAGAGATGAAGGAAATGTTTCAAGTAAAATTCCTTTTGCTGGCACTCTGGCTTGTTTGGCAAATGTGTACTAATTCACATGGCTGCTCACAACACCTTAATCATAAACAGAATAAAGAACCTGATCACAAAAGTCCCTGATAGGCACAGAGCCCTTTGGGGGGTGAGAAAGCCCTATTGGAGAACACAAAAAATATTATTTTAAAAGTGGTTATTGGATCAATGTTTGATTGCTGTTATTGTGCTGAGGTTGTGCAGTAAAAACTATTGTTAATATAGTTAAGGATTTAGAAAAATAAGAGTTTAGCCCTAGTGTGGAAACAATAAGATAATTGTTAATTTTAACCAAGAGTGCTAAAACAGAGGCTGCCTCACCAGAGCCACAGAGTCTTTGTGTGGTAAACTTTTTAGATAAATTTAGCTGAAAACTTTTGCAAAAAGGCTGACATTTGTAACAGGATTGTATTTCTACTATGTTGCAATCTGCTGTACCATAAGACTGCAACTTTTCTGTTTTCTGCTAAACTCTAGGCAAAATAGAACAATAAAGAATAGACTACGGAAAACAGCTTTGCCTTCTCCTAGGTCATAGAATGTTAATAGGCCCCAAGGCCAGAAGATAATGTACAAAGATC